CCCTCCCTTGAAAGTTAACCTTGACTCCAGAAGCTTGACAGATGTTGTGTATACCCTCTGATTTGGCTTTACTAGACCCAGGCCAATTATGTTCCCCTCACTGGTTGCTCCTGATGTAAAAACACTTCAAATTTAAACTTATAGTCACACACTAGGCATTTTCCTTTGAAACCTGAATTTATTTTGGTTACAAAATCTCCTTGCTTGGTTGGACCTTCATTAATATTTGCTTATGTATTGTATGTTAATTATAACTGGTACTTGTCAAAGTACATGCCTCTTGTTATCTCTGGGAGTTAGAACTCTTAAGACTACTTCTTCCTTGCTCCATAGACACCAAAACACACATGCTCAAGTCTTTTATGTAATTTGGTGTGGAACTTGAATATAACCTCTCTCTTGGTTATTGTACAATAGAAATGCTACATGAATCTTTAGACTTTCTGAAGAAAAATAACAAAAGATGATTACAGATTCAGTGCAGGCACAAACTTTTCTTCCTCAACTTTTTCAGCCTGTTGTTAATTAAGTGCACAGGTGTAGAACCTATAAGTACAGAGGGTTCATATTACAATTGTTAGACCCCCGGAAAACTCAGGTATTCAGGGTCCCAGGCCACAGGCCACGACCACGGTCATCCCAATCACCAGGTGGATTCGAGAGCTTGCTGCAAATTGCATGAGGCTTTATTGTTTTTTTTTTTAATGAGCTAACCCCATGTTAGCTCGGGTGTTTCATCTACCCTCCATGGTGGATGGCTAGCAAAGACAGCTCCTAGGGGCTCCCAAGAGATCTTGTCAGGCAGCCTAAGGGGAGTGTCTAGGGGTACGCGCAGGCTCGGGATTGGTGTGCCTCCAGGCTTGGAGGGCTTGCCCTGTGTTGATTGGCCAACTGGTTGTTATGGCCCATAGGCCCTCCCAGGGTAGTTGCTATGCTCTGTGTGTCATTGCTGTGTGCTTGTCCATAAAGTACACCCAGGGTGGTAAAGCATAGCCACCAGCTAACTTCTGATTGGTTCCTTGTCACGAGCCAGGCATCTGACTTTCTAGTGTCTAGGACAAGGTCATACAAGCACGTGTTCGGCCGTTATGGCTGCCGAAAGGGGAGCTGGTCCCTTCACAATCATTTGCTTATTCATCTTTCTATTCTTAATGCCCCTCATTGATCTTTTGTCTCATATGTGGTATTCTAGGTAATAATTGAGAAACATGGTATAGCCAGAGCTCCTAGGAAGCCAGTAGTACACTTTAGCAGTTCTTTGACATTTGGCCTTGGATGCATTACTTAATTTTGCTCATCTAGAGAATTATAGGAGTACGAGTTATTTACAGAATTCATATGATGGTTCTGTAAAACACTTAGCCACCTTTTGTTTGCCACAGTGTCCCATATATGGTATTCAGAATGATTAATTTTACCCATTTTATTTGGGTTTTTATTAATCATGTATATATATGATTTTATATATGTATATGATTTATATATGTATATGATTTTATATATATATATATTTTTTTTTTTTCTTCAGAAGGAATACACTTGGCAGGTGACAGAAACCCAGTTCAGTTACCTTCAGCAAGAAAGAATTTGCAAGGCTGGTTTGTTAGGGATTATGCTGATCTTGCTTTGAGTGGAACTAGGCTCAGGAGCTCATAGCACAGGGACTGTTCCTCCCTAAGATGGCTACCGGAAGCTCTTGTCTTAAACTTTTCACAATCCCCTAACTAGCGAATTAGCAGAAATGAGGACCTCACAATGTCCCTTGGAGCTTCTGTAAATTTTGGAATAAGCCCCTATTGACTCAGCTTGAGTCACATACATGCCTGGCCAGAGAGATAAGTGAAAACTTGTCTTTGCCTTGGCTAATAATTTGTTTGTGGGATTAGTGTCTGTCCCCTTCAGACCATTTGAAAGTTTTGGCTTTGGTTTTCAGTAGATGGTTATTAATAAATAAACAACTTTAATGAGATGTAGTTCACAAACCATACTCTCTAGAACTGATTATAGGCCTGTGCCTCTATTCTGTTTTATGCACTGTTGAGGATCCAACCCAGGGCTCTATGTATACTAGAAAAGTACTCTACCAGCTGAGTCTAGTGTCCAGCCCAAGACTGTTTTTGAACAGATGTTGACCAGATAAAAGGCATCCTTTGTTTGGTCACAGGACATTTATTTTTGTTTAATTTAGAGTGTTTGCTTTGAGGCTGGGTCTCTTACTTCGTAGCCCAACTTGGCTTTGAGCTCCCTGGTGCCCTCAGGTAGTGTTAACTAGTACAAGGAGCTGCTTTGAGTTAGGGTTAGGGTTTTGTTTTTGGTTTTTTGAGACAGAGTCTTACTGTGTTTCTAGACATTCTCAAACTCAGGGTTCAGGCATTCCTGCTGTTTGTTTCCTAATGCCTAAGTTTATAGGCATTGCTACACCTGACTCTATTTTTAGTTCTGATGTGACTGAAATGGGAAAGTGAAAAAATGTAGTCTGCCCTTAGGACAGGTTAAATAGCCTTTATCTAGAATTTTTAAGGCGGTGTTTCGTATTTCAGATCATTTTTGCCTTTACACTTTCTGCTTAGGAATGCTTATCCTGTAACTGTTCACTTAACTGTGTGTCAGAAGGCTATGTGAATGTGAAAATAAGTCTGGTGAACTCCAGTGTTGTATTACACTATTGATGGTAGCTTTTTCATACTAAGATACACTAATTAGATCACATTTTTTCTTGGGCATTAAAAATGGAATAATATTGATGATGCATAAGTATACATTTATTCATTAGGAATTATTTTTCCAAATTACAGAGATTTGTGGCATTATAATGGTAGCTCTCAGCTTCTCATGTTAAATATTTTTTCCCTCAAATCAGAATGCATAGGCCTCTCCTGATTCTTGTATGTAGTACTTGCCAGCTATATATAGTGAAGTTTGTGAGATGGTTTTGGTGGTTTATCTTGCTTATGTAACACATTCAATTTGATACTTTTAACTTTTTTTTCTAAGTTTATTGCAAGTTAATAAAATAGCCCAAATGAGCAGTGTGAATAACTAGTTAAGTATGACCCACTGACCAGCCTCATCAGATTCATCTGTGAATTAGCAATTTCGGGGTCTCATTTAATGGCTGCTGAGTCACTCTTTAGTAAGCTGCCCTAAGCTTTACTCCTCTACCTCATACAGTAGTGAACTGCTCTCTGGGCTCTTGCTAAGTGACATTTGCGTCCTTATGGCCTATGCAGTGTTGATTAGGGAGAATCCTGTTGCTCTCACCTGGTACTCTTTACTGACTATATTGTACTTGTCTAAAATGTAGCTTGTTATTCTGAGGTTCCTGACACAATTGAAACTGTTCAGCCTTAAAAAGGAGGCAAACTTTGTCATTTGGCGCCACCTGGTGATGGTAGTCTACCCAGTTTGAGGATTTGCCAAACATTGTCAGTGGTTGCAGAAACGTCTTTTAGGTAATTTGTACTGTCCCGTAGGTTTAAGTGAGGTGTGGAGAACACTGGAAGTCAGACACACACACCTTTACTTCCTCTTTCTGAGACAACCTTTAAATACATAAATATCAAGGAATTGGTTCTCTTTTCAGAACAGGCTGAGTAGAGAAGAGAAACTAGTACTATGTCCAAATTCTTTTAGCAAGGGGGGCAGCCTTTCAGTTTAGGTGTTTATTATTCAAACAGTAAAGAATGGCAGAAAGACATTTATTAGGTAAGAGGCTTTTTAAGTACATTTGTATAGATGGAGGAAGAAAGTAATTTTATGTGAAGACATTCCCTAACTTACATGAGATGCTTAATTAGTTGCTACTCCTTTTATTAATACAAGCAATTTTGAAACTCATCTGATGTCTCAAAGTTTTTTATCAAGTTTTTTTTTTCCTTTCTATTGAAATTCAAGTAATTGTGTCTTCTCTTTAAAAACAAAGACCTTACAAACTTTGTTCAACTGGATTTCTCACTGCCTCCTGCAATACCTGTACCTGACCATCCTTACTTCTCAAAAGATGTTGCTCTATTTCACCTTCTACTTACCTTTTTAGCCTTTAATGCTTCAGTCCTCACGTCCTTATGTCCTTGTTAGTAGACCCTGCAGGTCTCACAACCTCCAGTCACTCTGGGATTTAACCAGACTTGGAAATTACTCTTGGAAGCACTTGTCATGACTCTTGAGGTACCACATTTCTGGCACCAATTCAATTTTAGGCTCTTGCTTCTGGGTTTTATGTGTTTCATTGTCGTTTGAACTCTCATAAGGCACTGTCTTAGGTCATGTTCTTTTCTACTTTTTTTTAATTTTGGTGATGTTTAGACTATTCTTAGTTCATTGGAAATTATGATAAAACTTAAATTTTTTTAAAGGTTGTGAGTTTTATATGAAAATTATTGTAACAAGTGCAGGCACATAAGGAGAAAAATAAACACAATAAGAAGACAAGATTACTAAGCAGTGGTGGTGCATGCCTTTAATCCTAGCACTCAGGAGGCAGGTGGGTCTCTTGAGTTCAAGGCCAGCTTGGTCTACAGAACGAGTTCAAGAACAGCCACAACTACATAGAGAAACTGTCTCACACCCCCCCCCCCCAAAAAAAAAGAAGAGGACAGAGATCCAACCCTGATGACCTGAGCTTGGTCCTTGGGATTCACATATTAAGAACTGATTCCCGCTAGGTGGTGGTGGTGCATACCTTCAACCCCAGCACTTTGAAGGCCAGAGCAGATGTATCTCCTGTGTGGTTTACAGAGCAAGTTCCAGGGCAACCATGGCTATACAGAGAAACCCTGTCTCAAATAAATAAACAAATAAGCAAGTAAAAAATAAATAAGAGCTGACTCTTAGAAGAGGTCCTCTGACCTCCACATGTGTAGTGTGGCACATAGCATCACATATACAAAGAAAGTAAATGTAATTTTTAGAAAGACTGAATTATTTGTTTAGTGATATGTCTCTATACAGGTTATGTCAATTTTTGGCAGTTTTTATTAACATTTTGTTTATGAATTTAGTATATGAAAATGATGATCAGCTTCTGTGGGACCCAGAGTATTTACCAGAAGATAAAGTGATTGTATTTCTTAAGGATGCATCCAGAAGAACAGGTGATGAAAGAGGTGTAGAAGCAATTCCTGAAGGATCTCACATTAAAGATAATGAACAGGTACATTAGTAAGGAACAGTTGTTTGGGTTTTCCTCATATGTGACAGTTGTCATTTTTCTGTGGGTGCTCTGTCCACCTGAACTCTCCTGTAAAGGTTGGGATTATCACTGAAGACCTACTGTTTAAATAGGCTTCACACCATTGATGTAATTTCAACTCCGGTAAATAGAAATCTTGACTTTGCTCATTTATACTTTTCATAGTGTTTTTAAAAGTGTTTTCTGTTTTTTTTTGTTGGGTTTTTTTTTTTTTTTTTTTTTTTTTTTTTTTTTTCTTTAAGACATGTCTTCTGTATAGCCCTGGCTGTCCTGGAACTCTGCAGACCAGACTGGCTTCAACTTACAGAGGTGGTGTGTGCCACCACCGCCTGGCCTTTTGTTTGTTTTCTAATCTGTCTCCATGAGACTCCACATCTGTGATGAAGTTGGCATCCTCATCTCAGATAATACGGTTGTGTATATGGTCAGAATAATACCTAACATGAGCCCAATACAACATCGTTTTTTAGAACCTTGTTTGTCATTGTTTTTTATTTTTTCCTAATTTGTTTTAAGTATATTACAAATCTCAGAAGGCTGCAAAAAATTGCAGCTTAAACAAATGATACTTTTGTGAGATGAATATCTCAGTTGCTAGGATGCTATGGTCACGGGGTTACATACCCTACCTTGTACTTCAGGAGTGGCATAGAAGGTTAGTATTGAACTCTTCTTTTTATCCTGTACCCTAAAATTGGACCAGAAAGTATAGAAATAAACACATGATTCAGAAAATGTGCTCCTAAAAATGAGCATCTGGCTGAACTATTGGCCAGATGAGACTTACGTAGAAACCTTTTGTTTTCCTAGGCTTTATATGAATTGGTTAAATGCAGTTTTGATACAGAAGAAGCCTTGAGAAGATTAAGATTTAATGTCAAAGCAGCTCGAGGTAAGCACTTGCCAGACTTGGCAGAAATTTTAGCTTTAAGCTGTTCACTTTAACCTAAATATGTATTCAGCTTAATTTCAGTCTTTGTGCAGAGAACACAGTTATCACTCATTGTTACAGGGAGTGGGATTAAGATTGTTCTGTGATGCAAAATAAGGGCATCTAAGTAAAAGTCTAAAATATATAAATAATGTCTTCTAGTTTTAAAATAGTTGAAGTTTTTTTTTTTTTTTTTAAATCCTATGAGCTGTGTAAAATAACTTCTGCTGCTTAACTTTAAAATTGTGAGACTGTGCTGGTGAGGTAGCTCAGTAGGCAAAGTGGTTGTCACTCAAATGAACAACCTGAATTTGATAGCTGGAGACCAAGTAGAGGTGGAGGGAAAGAACCAGTTCTATAAAGCTGTTTCCTGGCCTTTCCCCCCACATTACTCAAATGCATGCGCAAACATATACAAATTCTTTATTATAAAGAATTATTAAATACAATTGGGAGATTCAGGACTCTGAACCAAAGTAATGTGGCTGAAGCAGGTATAATTCATAAGCAATAAAGCTATAGTTGAAACCTGAGTTTTCCCTTTTTTACTCTAAATTTGGCTTCTCTGCTGCACAGAAAGTATTACCTATTTATAGGTATGACAGTGAAATGTTATCTGTTTACTTGGCCTCAGTCTGAAGGCTCTTAAGCTCTGAGCTGTAGCCGGAGTTTCTTTCCGACCTGGCCTCATAGCTGATTAGCCCCAAATAAGCACACAGAGACAGATTCATTATCAACTGGCCAATGGCTCAGGCTTCTTGTTTGATAGCTTTCTCTTAATTATTAACCCATTTCTATTAATCTAAGTTTTCCGTGTGGTCTTATCTTACCGGAGAAGGGTCCGGACCTGTTACTCCTTCTTTGGCTACATGGCGTTTCCTCGTGGCCTCTCTCTGTGGCCTCTTCCTAGCAGTCTCACCTCATAGCCCTGCTTATACTTCCTGCCTGGCTACTGGCCAATCTGTGTTTTATTCATCAACCAGTAAGAGAAACATATATACAGAAGGACATCCCCCATCACCAAGCACCTAACTATGAGTCTCAGTCATCAAGGGTCCATGCTTCTCCTCTATTATCAATGTTTTCCTTTTGTAAAAGATGTAATTGTTTTTTAACTATGTGTGTTGTGCCTGGATTATGTGTGTGCGTGTGCACGCGTGTGGAGTGCATGGGTACAAGAGAGTGCAGGCACCAGTGGAGGCTGAAGGCGTTAGATCCTCTGGCTAGAGTTATAGGTGGTTGTAAGCTACCCAACATGGATGCTGGGTACCAAATCTGGGCCCTCTGCAAAAGCAGCATTTGTGCTTGACTGGCAGGCAATTCATTAGTAATGCCTGATGTCAGTTATAAAAATGTAGCAAGATTAAGAAGGAAGTAGGAAATGCAGAACAAAATGAATTCACAGGATCTGTAACTTCCATTAATAGTGTGCCAAAACAAAGCAACTATATTTCAGCAAAAAAACCAAAAAACAAAAAACAAACAAACAAAAAAAACAAAGGGAAAAAAAACGAAAAACAAAGCACTAATAAATGAATTAGAGCTTCAAACATATGCCCAATACTTAAACATAGCCCCATACAAGGTCCCAGATTTTAAAAAGCTCTCTTCAAGGGACTATGTAAGCCTGGTAGCCTAGGAGGCGGGCTGAAAAGTAGTTGCTGATCTTCAAAGGAGAGTTAGAGGATATTGCTGAAGCCGGTTATAGCTGGACATACTAGTTAAGGTGAGGATTTGAGGGGAAACTTGAGAATACGATAGTTTTACTGGTGAGTAAAGGGTTGTGTTACTACAAAGATGAAGTGAAGTAGAGGGCAGAACATAATCCCAGGTAGAGTCCAAAGTAAGAAAGAACTTACCAGGTTGAAGGCATAGAAAGGTGGTAATGACAGTTGGGCTGAGAAGAACTGAGGAGAGTCCTGAGAGTTGGCCCACAATAGAGCTGTTACAAGTTGGAGGCCTGGCTGGAGCTATATGTAGCAAGACCTTGTCTCCACAACAAAGAAGGAACAAGTGGCCCAAATTTGAGATTGGCAAGTTAGGGACCAAATTGTTCCAATTTTTATTAAATCAGGAATTTTTATCACTGTATCTTTTGCAATGACCAATATTAGCACTCAAGAGTAAGATGTGCTGGGCAGTAGTGTTGCATGCCTTTAAACCCAGCACTTGGGCAGCCGAGACAGGTGGATCTCTGGTCTACAGAGCGAGTTCCAGGACAGCCAGGACTGTTACATAGAGAAACCCTGTCTCGAACCCCCCCAAAAGAGTAAAATATTCCTTAATTTTTTTGCCAGAAAGTTACAGTTTTGGTTTCAGTTTCTTTATTGTATATTAACAGTTTTCTCTTATCTCCTCATTTTGTCAGAGGAATTATCTGTGTGGACAGAGGAAGAGTGTAGAAATTTTGAACAAGGGCTGAAGGCCTATGGAAAAGATTTTCATCTGATCCAGGCTAATAAAGTAAGTAGTGATTTATTTAAAGTTTTTGTAATACTACAATCTTTGAATAAGATTCTACTCATTAGAATAAGCATACTTAGACTGCCTGACTTGTTTGCTGGGTGACTTTTTTCATGATATTGTAAGCATTTAAGAATTGAACTCATTATATGCCTGTCAGTCAACTTCTCAGATTGTGTATGTAATGTGACAAGAGGTTAATTTACATTTTTAAAACAATGTTTTAATTCATTCTTTAAGAAGTTCACTCAGTATATTTTTATCATATTCTATCCCCTCCTTCAACTCCTCCCAAATCCTACCCAACCAATTTTATGTTCTTTCCTTCTTTTAAGTGCACACACAGGTGCACTCAAACACAACACCCATGGACTTAGCTGACTGCTTCTAATTATGGGGCCTGCTTCTGAGTGTGGCTAATAGAACCTGTCACTCCATTGAAGAAAACAAATTTTCTCTCTTCCAGCAGCTGTCAATTGCAAATACGTCTTTAAAGTAATTTTGAAATTTTAAAATATTCTTAACATCAAATTTACAGGGAAAATAATTGTGTGGTGTGTGTGTGTATACATGTCAGAGGACAACTCCTTCCCCTTCTGGAGTTGGGACCCCCCCCCCATTACTCCCCCATGTAACTTTGAGATTGAATTCAGATTGTCAGGTTGAGTGGCAAGCACCTTAACCTACTGAGCCATCCATCCATCTTACTGCCCATGATTTTTTTTTTTTTTTTTTTTTAATGTTTTTTTGTTTCTTTTTCCCTGAGATAGAGTTTTTCTGTAGCTTTGGAGTCTCTCCTGGAACTCGCCTAGTAGACTAGGCTGGCTTCCAACAGCATAGAAACTTTTCATTTCAAGCAATCCCATTTGCCAGTTTTTTGGTTTGTTTCTTATGTTAGTAGAGTCCTTTGTTGGTCTTTACCTGCACCTGTACCTTCAAAGGTTGCCGCTGCTTTTTTTTTTTTTTTTTTTTTCTGGCAGTTTCAGAGGTTCAGACTTTATATTAAGGTCTTTGATTAATTTTCTAATAAATTTTTTTACAAGGTTTGAGATTCAGATCTGAGTTCATGCTTCATTGTGGGAAATCATTTATAAGAGAATTTAAATTTAGATTCCATAGGTGGTCTGTGAGTAAAAGCATTTCTTCTTTGGATTCATTTTAATCTAATTGTCCTCCTATTTGCAGTAGAGGAATTCTTGTTTTATTGTAAAATATTAGAATGGTGGTACCCTTGAATTAAAAAACAATGCTAAATATCTTACATAGTTATTGATGCATTGTTTTTCTGAGTGATTTAGAAAGAATAGTTTTCAGCACAGTTGCTGCAGTTTAGGGTTTCATGCATAATATATCATGTTTGTCATGTATATTAACTAAGGAGTAGCCCCCCCCCCCCAGTCTGTCTTAAAGTTTCTATTGCTGTAGTAAAATGCCATGTTTTATTTGGCTTATACTTTCACATCACAGAACCTCATTGTCATGAAGGAAGTCAAGGCAGGAATTAGAGGCAGGAACTAAAGCAGAAACTGTGAAGTAACATTGCTGCTGTCCCCTTGTAGCTTGCCCAGTTTGCTTCCTTATACAACTTGGAACCAACTGCCCAGGGCTGTCACTACCTATACCGATCAAGAAAATGTTGCACAGACTTGCTGGTAGGCCAGTCTTAATGGAGACATTTTGTTAGTTGAGTCCCTCTTTCAGGTGGCTGTAGCTCGTGTCAAGTTGATGTAAAACCATCTAGCACACATTTAAGAGGTTTTTCTTGAAGTGGCTCTGTTAAGGAGACTATTCTTAAAAACAAATATTTGTTTCTTACAGGTCCGAACAAGATCAGTTGGTGAATGTGTAGCATTCTATTACATGTGGAAAAAGTCTGAGCGTTATGATTTCTTTGCTCAGCAAACAAGGTTTGGAAAAAAGAAATATAATCTTCATCCTGGTGTAACGTGAGTTGTTTCCTAATCTTTCTTGGATTTGTCTTAATTACGAATTTTTAGTCCTTCAAAATACAGTTTCTGTTAGTTTCAAAACTTACCCATTCTTGACATGTAAGGCATGCAGACTTTGTTGTCTTAAAAAAAATAGTAAGCCACTATACATGTTAAGACAACAAGCATTAAACCAAGGTTTAGAGTGCAGATTTTCATTAGGTTTTTTTAAAATGAAAAAGGACAGTGTGTTAATTCTATGTTCAATTTTAATCTTTGTTTGCTTTTTGTTGTTGTTTTTGAGGCAAAATTTTGCCATGTAGTCCTGGCTGGCCTCACTCTTAGGAATTTTGTCAACTTTCCAAGTGCTGGGATTGTGTATGTGCACCACCATCACATCTGGCTTAGTGTTCACCTTTGAAAACAGTAAAAATGGGATCAAGACAAACTTTAAAAACTGTTGGGCTACATAACCAGTAGAGGGCCCTTAAAAACGAAGGGAAATTTAATTTTCCCTTGTGCAGTGTATTTTGATCTTTGAAACTAAAACAAGATTTGAATGTAGATGTTCTTAAAAGGGGGCAAAGGCACAGGAATATGATCTTCAGGTTAATTTGTATCCTCTTGTTGGACATACCTTTTCCTAGGTGTCCCGAATCTTATAGGACATGTTATGGAAGTAATGTGTAATAATAGTAATGCAACACTAACGTTCTGATGAAACAGTGATGGTAGCGCTCATCACAGTATGCATGATGTGTCTTAACTGCCTAAATACAGTCCTGGCACATGAAATTCTCTTGGTTTCCTTCAAGCTGTGAGTTGATGAGCCCAGTGTGCACTAGTAAAGATGTCCTCAAGCTCCTTTACAAAGATGTGATTGTTACCTATGTTTGATTTTATTTTTCGTAGGCCTAGTGTTTCTTCGTTATTTTCATTTATAGGTAGATGTCTGCACTGAGTACTTCCTCTGATCAGACATTCTAAAGCCCAAAGCAAAACAAACTAAAAACGTATAAATAAGGGCTGGGCTTAGAGCTCAGTGTTAGACTGGAGTCTGCTGAAGGCCTTGGGTTCATCTCTGACACTACTCACGAGCAAGGGAATAAATGAGGATGATCCACCTTTGTCAGACAGTGAACTCCTTACCGCTCCTGTTGCCCACTTACTCAGAGTTGGTGGCCATTAGAATGGAATTTCATATAAAGAAGCATTACACATTTTATCATTGTTTGATAAGTAATTAAAAATGATTAATTCATAAATTTAATCACTTACTAAATTTATCTCTTCTGGATTATTCAGTGGTACTATTCAAGGACAAAAATGAAGTATCTCTCCCTCCACTCCGTTACCCTCCCTATTTTAGAAACAATGTAGACATGAAAAAGATGTTGTCATCAGCATAAGAACACACAACATGTGTTGTGCTAGGTCAGACTCCTGGGTCATCCAGTTTTCTTTTTCAGAAAGCCTTAGCAGAGGAATATGCTGAAGGCTTGGCTTAGTTGGCTCTGTAATGTCCATTGCAGTAAGGTAGACAGGGATGGACCACTAGTCATTTTAGATTCTATTTAGTCATTTTAGAGACTATCAGTCTCTGAAAACTTTTTGAAGATGTTCAGTATCTTAATTTCTCCTACGGTTATGTTTTCTGTAGGTAGACAAGCCATAGTTAAAGTGACCCACACTTTGTTTCCTAATCACAAATGTGTTTGGTTTTCCGCTTGTGTACCATTACCATGGTTTTGTGGAATTTCCTTTTATTCCTCTGTGTGCTTCTTTGAACTTTGCCTGCCTGTCTTGTCTTTCTTTTTTCTTTTTTAAGAACTATGACATCTTTTTTGTTTGTTTCTTTGTTTTTCGAGACAGGGTTTCTCGGTATTGTTTTAGAGGCTGTCCTGGAACTTGCTCTGTAGACCAGGCTGGACTCGAACTCACAGCGATCCACCTGCCTCTGCCTCCCGACTGCTGGGATTAAAGGCATGTGTCACCAACACCAGGCTTATAGCATCTTCTTTATATGTGTATTATACCTTTTATAAAAATCAGTGACCAGCTGGTTGTTGTATTTCACACCTGTAATATCAGCATTCAGGGAGCTGAGATGTGAGGATTTCTGTGAGTTTGAATCTAGTCTGGGCTGTACAGTTTCAGACCAGCAGAGGCTACATAGCAAAATAAAATAAATAAAAAAAATTGAAAAGAAGTAATCACCATGCTATACATTATTATCCATGGGGTGAGAAATTGATTTTCTGTGAGAACTATTTCTTTCTGACCTGCTTGCATTTTCTTTTTTTTTTTCCTCTTTTTTTTTTTTCTTTTTATTATTATTAATTCAAGTTAGGGCTTGTTTCACATGTAATTCCCCTCTCCCTCTGCCTCCCCTCACCCCCATTCCTTCTCCCCCACCTCCAGCCTACCCCCACCCCATCCACCTACCACTCCCCAGGCAGGGTG